ACTTATTTAATATAATTATCCACAATGAAAAAATATTTTTTTAATAAAAATTAGGTGTCCTTTCTTATGAATTATTAAAAAATATATTGAATTGAAAAAGTAATAATATTTTTCTTATTTAAATTTAAAAAATATTATGATCTTAAATAATTATTTAATTTATTCATAGTACATATATTATGTTTTTAAATAAAAAATTTGTTATTTAGTAAGAATTATTAAAAATATATTAAATTTATTTTATTACTAACACCGTTAAGAGTCAAATAGGTTGATCATTAAAATAGAGGGTAAGTGTATTTTCCATAGTTCAAGGGGGTAAGTGTTACATAAGGTACAGTAGAAGGGGGTAAAGTGTATTTTGGCCTTATTGAAATGAATACATGAATCTCGAAACTACTCGTTTAATGTTCTTGAAATTCGAACACAACTTTCAATGTAAGCTTCTGCTTTACTTCCATCTTGACTAAGGCGTCTTACTTTTCAACACATAAATAATATTTGGAAAATAAATCACCGAGAAAAGTCCTTTGTTTGAACGTTGAAGTCATTTGAAAGGGTGACAGAGACATGTATTGAAACTCTTATGATTTATTTGTCGATTTGTTTTGAGTTTTCAACTTCGGGTTTTTTTTTTTCCATAGCTTCCTAATCAAATATTTTTATTAACCTAAGTTTATGGGTTATATCTCTTTCATCAATAAGCTCATCCCTTTAATATTTATTATAAATAAAGGAAATATTAATGTATATGTCAAAATTACTCCCAACCCTTTATACCCAATTCCAATGTTGTTAAAACCGCAACAAACTGGCCGGTCGGACCGGTTCGACCGTGAACCGACAATAAAGCGGTCCGGTCTAACATCTAAAACCAGAAAAAATGAAAATTGGGGTCAAATGACTAAAATCCGGTTCGACCGGGTAAAACCCGAGAACCGACGAGTCAGTCAAGGAACCCGGTTTTCGGCCAAAACGTCTCGAATCACAGTTGAGTTGGTTATTTGTGACTATAGATTTGAGCGAACCTTCACAGACTTACTAGTGGGTGGCCGATTGCTGGATTTGAAAAATAAAAAATGGAAAAATATAGAGTTTAAGCAATAAAATATAGTAAAAAGTGA